CCGTCGGGTAGACTTTATCCAGCGAAAAGAATGATACTGTCCGTAGAAGACACGGGAAATTGCAAATTTGAGTAAATCTCTGTTTTTTTGCAAGTTATTATTATTAAAGAAAAAAGTAATTTAATCCGCGTGTGAGTGAAGGCCCAATAGAGAAAAATAAGCCCATTAAAGTTTATGGGTTATCGTTGGATTATAAAACCAAGTATAGCAGCATTTTAGGGAGTTTTTAAGTTATACGATCATGTTTATTTATTACAAAAGACTTTTGGAGTTTCACTTTACAATGGCTCATGAGACCAGGCTTATCATCCTAACAACAAGGTATAAGATGATAACAAAAATGGGACACTAATTCCGTCTATGGGACAACTAGAGACAAGATTAAGAGGAAGAGACACTCTCATCAACAAAAAGTTGGTTTACCATGAAGAATAACCAATGGCCACATAAAAATTGCAACCGGTCTTGTCTTGTGACATTTATGCAATGAGTCGCTATTTCTTGCCGCTATTTCCACCTCTAGTTTTCATTCTTCCGAAAAATTTAGAGCCAACAAAAATTTTGAACCTTAGTTGAAATATGGCCATGGTTGTGTTTTGTTGACAGCTCTAACAAGGTATGAGTTCTCTGATACAAAGATTATTTTGGGCCTAAATGGTGTAGTAAAAGTTGTGGAAAGTTGGAATCTTATCATTTATTTACACCAGTTACATTTGTGGAAGTTTACAGATTTTATGTACAATTCTTTTGAATTGTGGGATGATTGTCACTAGTGCTTTTTACTATACATTTAAGAACAAATGTATTTTAAATTTGTAATGTTTTGAGTTTAAATGTTTAGTTTTTTTTTCTTTGTTTAAAAAATTATTAATATTATAAATGAATAAATTTATAAAGCCTTACTCATTTTAGTAGTTAATAATCAAATAATATATTTATAAATATTGCTAGTTGAAATAAAAAAAATTATTATTGTTATAAATTGGATTTACAAGATTAAATCAATAAAATATTATTATTTTGTATAATCTAATACATTTATAAACGAA